GGCCGAGAAGTCTGGAAACCCCGAGTCTGCTCCAGCCCGGCCGGGACGGCGGGGTGGGAGGGGCCGGGCGGGGGCCTCACAGCTCCCCCTCCAGGGTCTCCGTGAGCTTCCCCTCATCCACCTGCTGCTTCTGCTGCTGGATCCTGGCGTAGGAGATGGCGTCGCCCCTGGGGAGAGAGCGGGTCAGCGCCCCCAGGGCCATGCCGGAGACCGCCCCCCCACCCCCGCAAGCCCCCGCTTCCGGGCTCGGACAGACACGTCTTTAACCCGCCAGGGCACAGGCTGCCCGGAGCCGGGCCACGGGGCTGACAGCCCGGGCGTGGGGCCAGCGGGAGACCCTGGACGGAGGTGGCACCCACAGGCCGCCACCCGCCAGCCCCTGGGCCGGGGGGCCAGACTGGGCCTGCAGGACGCCCCCAGACCCAGAGCTACAGCGCTGGCGACCCGGTGCCTCGGTCCCGCCACTGGCCGCGGGGAGCCCTCGGGAGCGAGCCCCCCCAGACGGGCGCACGCACTTGCGGCCCAGGGCGGCGAGTCCGTACAGCACTCCTGTGGCGAAGGCGACGGCGTTGCCCAGCAGCGTGGTCAGGGTCAGGCTGATGATGATGGGGACCACGGCCATCCTGGGGAGACACGGGGCTCAGGGCGCAGCCCTGCACCCTGACTCGTGCGCTTTCTGGGGCAAGGACTGGGAGCTTCCGTCAGATTTCAGGGTCCCAAGAGTGAAGGGCACTGGCCCCCTCTCTGCTTACAAGGGCGGTGGAGCAGCAAGCCCGTGCCGCCTGCCGCCCCCCGCTTCGGGATGCCGGGCCATCAGCAGGGGTCACCCCGGCAGCCGCACCGCGGACCCACAGCGCACGGCCCCGGTGGCCAGGACAGCTCGGCCCTAAGTGCCCGTGGCTGGCCCTCGACCCTGCGAGGTCCAGTAAACTGGCCGGGCGAGACCCGCCAGGGCCAGCCTGTCACCTGCTGGCAGGAGGCTGCCCGGCCTCACCGCCCCACCCGGGACAGAGACCACAGGCGCAGGGCAGGAGGTGGGGTTGGGGGGCGGCGGGGGAAGCTGCGGGGGGGCCTGGCCAGCTGATGCGACCGACTCCCCATCGGGGGGCCG